CAAATTCTATGATTTCAGCTTCTCAAATGTGATTATATTCTGGTTGCTTTAGTCCTCTATGACAGTAAACTGAATTTCTTTGGGTTGAGGATTGAGTAAATGATTGACAGTTTAATTGTGGATGAAAATAAATTGCAACCCTGAAGTGTTCCGTGTCCGTCCTTCAGACTGGCAGATTATGATGTGGTGGTGACAACATACAGTTTGGTCTCTAAAGAGATCCCAGTCCAGAAGGAGGAGGCTGAGAAACCCAGCAAAGATACTGACGATGTGGTGAGAAATATATATTTAAAACTTTATTTAAAATCTGTTCTGATGTCAGCGTTTATCAGCTTCAATGCTGTAACCTAAGATTCTGCTTTTAGGATGTGAATACAGACATACAGTAGTTACACTGATAATCAATCTTCTTTGGCACCAAAACTAAAAAACTGAGACACCTGACACTTCATCCCATGTTGTTTTCCTCAGCCACCGCGCTCAGGTCCTCTTCGGCGAGTGGCCTGGGCCCGGGTGATTCTGGATGAAGCCCACAACATCAAAAACCCAAAAGTACAGACTTCCATGGCTGTGTGTCAGCTGAGGGCTCAAGCCCGCTGGGCTGTCACTGGCACACCCATCCAGAACAACTTGCTGGACATGTACTCGCTGCTCAAGTAAGACAAAAACTCAGTGGATACAAGGGTTTAAAACAACAACATAAGAACTTGGTAGAAATGCTGTGTAGACACACAGAGGTTCTTAATTGGAGGAACTTTATTTCCAGTGAAACTGCAACTAGTATTGTGATTTGCAAAATACTATGAACTTTAAATATGTGTTGATTCTGACACCCCTGTGGACAAAAGCAGTAGTGTTTCTACTGCTTTGTTTCATTGATTTCAAGGTAGTGGCAGGTATTAAGAATAATTATACACAAATAGCCAATCTTGTCTCTGGTGGTCTTGTTTATGTAGGTCATATGGAGTACCCAATATTACATTGAGACTGTTTCATAACCACTTAAAAAAGTATGTTTAAGAAATGTGAACACTTAATTTTTATGACTTTATGAATAAAGTTGCTAAATTTAAACAGATGATGAATGAACCGTGCAAGCAGGTTAAAGCTACACATATGTGCAAGGCTTAATCTGATGGATCCATCTTTGTCTTGAATCCAGGAAAAATGTTCTTCTTCACTGATCAGTAGTTATAAATGAAAAGTGCTTTATAAGTGACCAAACATTACAAATTCCTTTGAAATCTGTTAAACTTTGTTCACAATGCATGAAGAAACATTGATGAGTGAAATGATGCATTCTAAATACTATAATAATGCACTGAAAAGATTCCAACCCTGAAGTGTTTTTTTGAATGTGTTCAGTGAAGTACAGATGGAATTGGAATAAGATTGTGTTCATTCACTGTCTGTCTCCGTCTGTCTTTCAGGTTTCTGCGTTGTTCTCCGTTTGATGAGTACAAACTCTGGAAAGCTCAGGTGGATAACGGCTCTAAAAGAGGCAGAGAGAGGCTCAACATCCTGACGAGGAATCTTCTGCTCAGACGAACCAAAGACCAGCAGGACTCCACAGGAAAACCACTGGTAGGACACAAACCTTAGACGTCAATCCTGACGAGGAACCTTACGCTGAGGACACTCATTATTACTTCTCTTTGTCTTTTAAATGGTGGTATGTGCTCACCGTGGCTAGTTAGCTAGCTGCTGATTTGCTCAAACAGATCAGACTCAGCTGAGACGTTGATTCTCACTCTTGATCCTGGCTGAAGTGAAGTGTTTAATGTTTCAGGTGTCCCTTCCTAATCGGACCTGCGAGGTGCATCGACTCAAACTATCCAAGGATGAACAGGCTGTGTATGATGTGGTCTTTGCCCAATCCAGGTAACACAACAACAACCTTATTTTAGTCTTATTTTTTAATTTAACATAAGATTTACAAGAAAACATCCCTCATATCAATATATTTAGTGTTAACACAGGAGCATTCTTAAAGGAAGGAAAGATGATCTTACCCTCCTCTAGTTCCTTGTTTTATTAATATTTAATCATAAATGGTCATTAGGTGGTGTTTTGAAAGTTAACTTACAATTAAATGTAATATTGTGTTTGACTTTTTCCAACAACTTGAGATGTTTCCTAAAATGTTTTCCATTCAGGGCAAAGTAGAAAAGTGGCTATTAATGGACTAATTAATGTTCCCCTTTAAACTACTTTATGACTACCATCAACCCTTAAGTATTCCAGGATATACCAGATACTATAGTTCAATAAAGAAAATATGCTAGAACTGTGATTTGCTCTTTTCCTCTAGATCTACTCTGCAGAACTATCTGAAGAGACATGAAGGAAATGATGTGAACAAGCGAAACACTCCCAGTTCCAATCCCTTTGACAAAGGTGAGATATGAGCTGCTTGATTTTATATTCCTCAACAGGCTGAGTGTGTCATGAATACTGCCTCAGTCCTGAGTGTGCAATTTGACATTTTGTGCACAGATATTATTATATATAAAATGATCACACTAAGAAAAATTGAAGCTGATCAATCACAATTCCACTTTATGCCCAATTAAATAAGTATTTGCATGTCTGCTATTATCAGCATTGACTTTAACTCTGTTTCTCAGTTTTACTTTACTTTAATTTGCTCACTGTGAAATTATTCCTTTGTGGCTTCCTGCTCAAAATGAAATGTTATTTTAAAAAATTGGTTAGTAATCAGTGTTGCTATAGTGGTGTCTCAAAAGTGTGTTTGTCTTCCTTCCCCAGTGGCCCAAGAGTTCGGTATGTCCCAGGCTGACCCTACTGTGTCGAGTTCCCAGCAGCCCCAACAGGCGTCCAGCACCGTCCACATCCTGTCTCTGCTGCTGCGCCTCCGACAGTGCTGCTGTCACATCTCACTTCTTAAGAAGGTACACACTCACACACACTCGCGCTCTGACAATACCCACAAGTTTTGCCTGACATTCTGACACACAGATACACACAAACACCAACTACACGGTATACACAAGCATTGACTTCTTTCCTTCTCCTCTCTGCTCAGACTCTTGACTCATCAGAGCTGGAGGGTGATGGGATCGTCTTGTCTCTGGAGGAGCAGCTCAATGCTCTGTCGCTCTCCTCCAGCCCCTCGCCCTCGGGCCCTGACCCCAAAGACACTGTGGCCCTTAATGGCACCCGCTTCCCCTCAAAGCTGTTTGAGGATACCAGTGAGAGCACCAAGGTGGGCAAAGGTTGCGCTCAGGAGTAATGGTTGAATCAGAAATGTGGTTTTTAGTGATCTCCGTAGAGGTTAGCAGGTTGTTTACAGAGACTGGATGCCCTCAGTTTTAGCCTTTCTGAAGTCTAGTTAGTGTTGGTGAGGGCAGACATGAGGGTTTTTAGATACATGTTAAGCTGTGATTACCAGTCATATCTTAGTTACTTTAAGGAGTCACAGGTTCTAATCTGTCTTCATCAAGAGCCTGGGGAAAATATACAACATACCTGGTGAGAAAATGTTTCCCTCATTTAAGAGGACAGGGTGTGAAGCCAATCCTCAAACTTTCCTTTGTTTTATCAAATCTTAACAACAAATCAACTAATTCTTCTACCTTCATTTTCCAGATTTCTGCTATTGTCTCTGAGCTGAAGGCAATCAGGCAAAAGAGTGATGATCAGAAAAGGTAAAACATTAAAGTCTCACAATCACCTCAGAAGCTGTTTTGCATCCAGTTATATTATAATCTGCTTCAGTTTGACTCATTTTTTATTCTTGCAGCAAAAAATCAACACTTTCTTTTGACACACAAAAGCATCTGCCAGATACATTTCGTAATCTAGTTGGCAAATCAGTCTGCCACAAGGTCCCTTCAGAAGCTGTTCTGAAGTTCTCAGTTGTGTCACACAATCTTCCTCAGCAGATGGAGTTAACCAAGTTTCTTGGAAATGTTGATGTTCAGATTTCAATTTTTCTGAGCACTTTTAGGACCATCTACTGAGGAAGTCATAAATATTTTACCTTCCTCAAACACACATATATATGATCTGTACTGTACATTCATTGACCTGTAAACTACTCATCTGTTAATCTGTAAGTGGTGACTGCAGCTGACCCAAGAGAACAGTTTAAATGTTACTATCATATGTGTAATCTACATTGTATCTCCTCTCTGGTAATGTGTAGCGTGATCGTGTCCCAGTGGACCAGCATGCTGCACATTGTAGCAGTTCATCTGCGGCAGATGGGCCTGAGCTACGGCGTTATTGACGGGACGGTCAACCCCAAACGCCGCATGGACCTGGTGGAAGAATTCAACATTAACCCTAAAGGACCACAGGTAAATCTCACTCAAACCTCTTGACCCTAAAAACAAAGCACATGACTAAAACCTATTACTACTTTTAAATTAATTGGCAAGTATTTTAATACAGGTATGAAACCCTTGACAAACTTAATATTTTCTTTTGCTGCCATTAATAGTCATAGCATCATTTAACATCTACATGAGCTTTTTGTTTTGTTTTTACAATGTATTAGTGAAAAGAAATGTAAAAATATGCCTTTACGGCCATTGTTTTGTCACACAACTTTAGAATACATAGTGGAAGAAGGTTACCAGTGAAAGGCCGCACAGTACTGATAAGAATCAATCTTCAGAACTGGACTTAGACCAGTGCTACATTAAACATATTGTGAGTAAATATATATTTATATGTATTTCTGGTTTTCTGCCAAAGGTGATGCTGGTTTCTCTTTGTGCTGGAGGAGTTGGACTTAATCTCATTGGTGGAAATCACCTCTTCCTCATGGACATGCACTGGTGAGACACACAGGCATGCACAAAACCAAAAGACTATAATTGCTGGTGTTTGCTTCCCTCTGCTTGATGTTATATAAACAGTATCTGTTTTGTCTGAATTATTGTTGTTTTTATTCCTTTAATTCTATTGTGTTAGCCTATACCTTTACCTCTTGTTATTGCTTTTTATTTCACCCTCAACTGAAATGTTCATTGTCATCAGCTGACCCTTTTTAGAGCTTTCCGTTCAATTCAAATTTGAGCTCCTTCCAGAGGTGAACTCTTCAACCTCTTTTAGTGCTTCAGTTGCAACTGTTATTCGCACAGAACATTTTACAAGCCAATAATTCACATTTAAAGACATTATGACCTCATTAAAGGACCAGTGAATAGGATTTAGTGTGATCTAGCCGGGATTGCAGCCAACTGAATACTGCTGGCCTTAGGTGGCCGTAAAAGGTGGGAAAGGTCCTATCTTGAGCCCATGTTGGTTGGTCATTCTAGGGTGATTATACATGACTGAAAACATATCTATGAATATTACATTCATAGATCCATTTCTGCCAAAGGATCCTCCTAAATGTAACACACTGAACCTTACACTTAAGTATGGTAAAATACTCTTCTTTAAGAATTGAAATAGAGCTCTCTCCCAAACAAACACACACACACCAGTTGTACCATTTGGTGCTGTTTTGCAGTGGCTAGTCACTTACAGATCAATGCTACTAATAAAGTGAGAAAATCTTTAATATGTTCAGTATAAGAATGAGTTTTTAAACTCTGACCCCTGTATGCTCTGACAGGAACCCAGCCTTGGAGGATCAAGCATGTGACAGAATCTACAGAGTTGGACAAACTAAAGATGTCACCATCCACAGGTAACAAATCAGCAGGACGTTTGATTTGTGTGTCTATTATTTACTATTACATCATATGACATTGTTTTAAAAGGACAGTATTGAGAAGTATCAACTAAGGAAGGTTAATAAGTTAGGTACAGTTAAAGGTGCCCAAAACAGAGATCAAATTAAAATGTTGCTGTCATGTGGGTGGGAGTGAAACAACAAAGCTACAGCTCCATGGGAAACTTTTTCATTAGGTTTGTTTGAGTTAAATGGTTTGTGTGTTAATAGTTTTGTGTTTGTGTCCAGGTTTGAGTGTGAAGGCACAGTGGAGGAGAAGATTTCCACACTGCAGGCGAAGAAGAAGGAGCTGGCCCAGAATGTGCTGTCAGGAACGGGAAGCACCTTCTCCAAACTCTCTCTGGCTGATCTCAGAATCATTTTTGGTGTCTGAGATGGAAGAGAACTGAGGACGCTGTGCCACGCTGTCAAACCCACAGCTACAACACTAGACAGCTATTCATACACTTATTCAAAACTCAGTCTGGAAAATCATGAAATAACCTAATAAGACTAAGGTAATAAATAACCTGAAGATACTAGAGAGCTCATTTTCGTCGATGTAATGACTTCTTTTTGGGCCTGTCATCTCTTAGCTTATCCCAGTACAGCGTCTGCATCCTAACTGCTTTACAAAATGTTATTGGACTTAATGTGCCTTAACATTATATTTCAAGTTTTCAAGGCTGCTATTAGCTCTATTTACTCAGATACATGCTGCTTTAAACTGATTTATTTTAACAGTATTTCAATTATAGATAACTTTACAGATGCTGCTTTTGCCCTGATTTGTTGCTCCAGTGCAAAATTGGTTACCATCAGTAAGTGATGACCATCAGTTTCTCATTTTATTTGGTTTTAAAAGAGATTTTCTCTCATAAACTAATCTAATCTAATCTATCACTGTCATAGTTATTTTAATTTTATGTAGTTAACTCATTGGAGTGAAGCAAATATTTCCCTATATTTGTTTCCATTAATGAAGTTTATTTCCCTTTTTAAAGTGGTTTTCAAATGCCTTTTTTAATTATTGGTTATTGTTGTGTGTGTGTGTGATATGTTTAAATAAATGTGTAATGGAAGTTAATGGGACTGCTTGCTGTATAAATTGCTTTGCACAGTAAGTGGAAATGATTTGTCAATTCCAAATGATAGGAAATTAAGATGTGCTAGTGAACTAGTCACAAAAATGTCAATTTACTGATATTTGAATATTAAGACACTATATTTGAAATATATTTTGGAGACAGAAGAGTGAAGACACATTTTCATATGCTGCAAGGTAAGTTATTCAGAATACATTACTGGCCACAAATTGTAGCCTATTTACATGGGCAATTTAAGTTGTTTTTTTTTTTTATGTTTAAAGATAACTATGTGGAAAATGAAAACGCATAGTATACTGTTTTAAATTATAAATGCGTTCCATTGTTTTCTATCATATGTATCCTTAACTTGCTCCAATAGCCCACCTTGAGCAGTCGTCCATGTTTTCATCGCTCTGTGTAAAAAAATTAATGTCCATGCTGCGTTTAAGAAACATCGGAAGTTTGGATACAATGTCTATAATTACACAGAGTAATAATGGAATCGGGTTTTTTTGTTTTTTTTTAAATCTACATGGTCCTGCAATCCTTGTAGTCAAGCTGTGTCTTCAGAGGAAACTTCAAGTATTAAAGTGCATGTCAGACACAGGCGGTTGTAACAATTACCGGCGTTTTCTGTCTATCAAACATTAGCATTACTATTTCTGCATTCTCTCAGTTAAATGATTAATCCTGCATATCGCAAAGCAGAAGTTAGTTCTGCTGCTTACAAGCGTTGACCAAAACCATTTGAAACAGCTCAACGTGGTGAAAGTGATTGAGAAATAGCAGCCTGTGAGTCCAGGAGTCGCATTGAATGCGGCGCAGTGAGAGCGGGCGGTAGCGGGTGAGCTCCGGATAAAGCCTCTGAGCCGCAGAGCTCGTGCAGTAACGTTAGCGTCCTGCCCCGGTGAACAAACGGCTAACGTTAACGGGAACGAGGCCTCTACGAGGGCTCAAGCACAAAGCTCAACTTTGGCAGCTCTGCACCAACCCGCAGCCATGGCGGCCGAGGCGGACAAGGTAGAGCCCGCGGACAGTGGAGATGAGGAAGAAGACGTTTACGAAGTGGAGAGGATCATTGACATGCGAGTGGAAGAGGTAACGATAGCTCGATGCTACGTAGCCGCCTGGCTAGCTGGGCGAACATGGTGGCAGTGCCTTCACTTCCACTCTCACGACGCATAGTCCACCTACAACGGTGTCCAGACACACTGCACATATAACCAACAATGCATTTGAATTGCATTGACATGCATTGGATTGCGCTTGCGTTACTCAACTAATCGTATGCGACCAGTACTGTTTTTGTCGCGGTGCGCTGCTCGTCCAAACATAGCATCGTCTTTCTGTACGGCTCCCATGATGTCCGCTCCCTTCTCCCCTGCTGGGGCCAAGGACAGACGCTTTGCAAGCTTGCACATATATATATATATTTTTAATCTTGGGTGCTCTTGAACAGCGGCATAGCTAGATCAAACAAATCCCGGGAATAATGTTAGTCACACTGTGCATGATACAGATTGTATGGTGGGGGTTCCTAGCGGCAAACAATACCAGTTAACGTAATTCCCAATGTGGATTCACTCACCGCTGCTAACGTTACTACAGTGGCTGCTCTGTGTGTGTGTGTGAGTGTGTGTGTGTGTGTGTGTGTGTGTGTGAGTGAGAGAGGCGGAATTAACTGAACCTGTGTGTTTATGTATCTTTCTGCGTAAAGACAAATCCCACACTGGATAATAATTAACAACAATTGTATCTCACTTACACTGTTTTAAGTTGTGTTGTGTCTTTGTAAGAACATAGTAACGCGCTTGTAGCTTGTAACATGTGTCAGTTGTGTTTTGATTTCTACAAAATCTGTCTAGTAACCCACCTGGTGCATAAGTATCCACACTGTACCAGTGTTTGATAGCTTTGTACGTCCAGCTGAGGAACTTTTCCTAAACGTTAAAAAATGACACAAAGACAAACAACAAACTGAGCACTGTATCTTACATTCAGTAATCAGTGAGACACATTGAATACATTGTAGTGCTGAACAAACAAAGTGTCAGAATCTGCTTCATTAACCAAGTATGTGTTTACATTAAAGGAATTTGACTCCGGTTTTAAGTGTGTGTGTTGGCTTGTGTAGTCCTATTGTATTTAGTAAGAATCACATATTTAAAGTATTTCTGAATATTTGTGTTGTTGAAGGTGGTGCGATAGTTTCTGATTTTACACCTTTTATATTACTTTATTGAAACAATATCAACATATTAATAACCAGAATGAAAACAGACTTTGGACTGTAGTTTGCTCTGTTCTTCATTGTGGGTGATTACACTTCTTTTCCACTTCTTTTGCAGTAGTCCCCCTCCCATTATTTCTCCTCATATTGTGTTTACAAAGTCATGCTTTGTCCCGGGTTGGTGCCACATTTTAAATATTAACTACCCCCTCACTTGAGGGATTATGGGGGGAGTGCTTTTGTGTTTATGAGTGTAGATGGGTTGGAGGGTGGTGTTTGTGTTTTTTCCTGGAGTGCCAGGGCTTTTTATACGGTCTGAAGGATTCTTCACATTCACTGTGTTTGTTTACATCGAGTTAAGAAAGCAGATTTTTCTTCTCAAAACTCTCAAGTTGATTTATGAGCTCAAATGATGAAGTGAAACTGAGTTAACCTAAGTGAATTCATGTTGGAGAAACATTGTTAATATGTTAAGTATGTGCATTAGCATGACAAAGACACCGGAATAATTAAAGTATTGTGGGCTAGCAATTTGGCAAAGTTGTGCAATGTTGTGTACAGCTGAACAAGATTGTATTATTCTTCGTGTCAAAACTAGAACTGTTAAATGAGTCTGTTTCCATAGCTGAACAGTGAGCATTTATTTTAATACTGAAACACAATCACAGTGAGAAATTAATGATCTCCAGCCGCAGAGCTATCCTCACTGCAGCATTTGTCCGAAACAAAAAACTCTTTCTTAAAGCAGCATCAGTTAACAAATTCTTAAACATAACAAAATTAAGTTCTGGTGGCTTGGAAAAATTACAAATCAAAACTTTAGTGCAAAACTTTTGCATTGTGCATCGCAACAGAAACTCTGGACCTGACACACATTTTTCTTAGCTTATCCTAATTGTGTTCCTTCATATAAATGATTACCATCTGGTCCAGGTTGGTAAATATGTACATCTGCAATGATAAATTATTGATGTTGCCTTTTCTAGCACACTTTTGTGCGCATGTTCACATTTTTTCAGCTACTGGCTAGTGCAACTTTAAGTATTTTGTTTGTTTCTCCCCAATGAACTCTTGTTGTATTTGAATATTATGAATACAACCAATGAATCAAAGAAAAATGTCCACCATGCAGAATACTATATGTATCCATGTTGGCTGGAGTCAGCAGTTAATGTCTGACAGCTACCAGTCAACATGTCAGGTTGGTGTGGAGTAATGCTTGAGCTTAATATCCATCTCTATCTGTTCTTAGGGTGAAGTGCTCTACAGAGTCCGCTGGAAGAATTACTGCTCTGATGATGATACTTGGGAGCCAGAGGCCCATTTGGAGGACTGTCGTGAGGTCCTCTTAGCCTTTAAGAAGACCATGGCTGAAGCTAAGGCCAAGAAAGAGGCAGAAGCCAAAAAGAGCGTGGTAAGTCACACTCCCTGTTTACACCTGGCATTAACCTGCGTCTTGGGTCATCCGATCACAAGTGGACAGCTCTCAGTACGTCAGTTCTCCCTGCCATTAGAAAGCGTCTGTGTACAGCGTTATCCATGTGCATTCTCATGTGTGAGCAATGTGATAAAGCCTCTGAGCCATTCAGCTTCACAGCTTCATAGTGCTACTAGAGGTCTACAACGCCACAGAGAACCTTGACCACAAAGCCAAAAATACAATATATAATGTTTATGAATTAGTTTAAAAATGTGACATTGTTTATTCATTCTCCTCTTAGAAACTGCTGCCTACGAAGAGTGACGTGTTTGATGCCGACTCAGAAAGTGAAAGTGACAAAGACCGTTCAACTGAGGCACCCATCAAGAAGAAGAAAAAGACCAAGGTCCAGGTAGAAGAGGAACCACCTCCAAAGGAGAAAAAGAAGAAGAAGAAGAAAGACAAACGGAAGGAGGAGTTCAGGCCTCTACCGGCACCAGAGACGGATGAAGAGGAGGAAGAACAAGAAGAAGAGGAAGAAGAAGAGAGAGCCCCAACACCACCCTCTCCTCCCAAGGAGAAAAAGACTGAAACAAAAAAGCGACTGGTTGACTCTGAAGAGGAGGAGGAGGAGGAGCCAGTTCCCTCCAAAAAACACAAGAAGGAAAAGGGAAAGGAGGCAGTAAAGCAAAAGAAAGAAAAGGTAGAGGAGGGAAAGAAAAAGAAAGGAAAGAAAGAAAGGAAAATTGAAACCTCTGAAGACGAAGCTGCTGCACCTCTAGAAGATGACCTGAGCGACGGCCCATCGGAGTCCCAAATGGACGACAGTGCATCGACGGATACAGCAGTAAAGTCAGCCGAAAAGGCGCGTTTGGACGACAAGTCCAAACAAAAGATGGGAAAGTGGGAAGTAAAGCTGCAGGGCATTAAGGACCTCATCCATGACAAAAAGAACAGAAAGACAGATGCCACTCAGAAAGAAAGCAGCCTCCAAAAACTAAAGAGCCTCACCTCTAAAAGCAAGGAAGAGGCTGCCCCACACTCAGACTCCAGTGATAGCTCCACCCTACATAAGAAAGCCAAGAGCAAAGGACAGGACAGCACGCCGCCGCCACCACCCAAAGTCCCGTCTTCCTCAACATCCTCATCATCCTCCTCATCCTCTGTCACAGCAGCCAGCAGCACCAAGGGCAAGGAGGACGAGGTAGCTGCTAAAGAGGAGGTATTGGGACCAAAGGATGCCACAGGATCCACTAACCTGTTTGAGAAATTCCTTTTAACCTGCGAGGCCAAGGACCGCGCCCCCCGCAGGCAGCCAGTGCACCAGCCCACACCAGAAAAGACCAGCA